TATTATTAACAACATCCCACCAATTTCTAATAATTTGTAAAAAGTCAGAAGAATTCTTATGATTGAACTCATTTAAAGCAAAAATAGTTGACATGTGACATACAGGGTAGCCCATCGAAAACGTACTGCAAGGCATATTACAGGGTGGAAAAGGACTTTTCGGCGAAATCCAAAAACATGTCAAGTTTGTTTGTCAGGGGACACCTTTTGACGCAAAAAGCATAGTAAAACCTTCAATCCCCTCATTAGGGGTGTCATCCTCCAAATTTTTTCAAAGGAGAAGGGGTGTCAAGTGATACCTCATTAAAAATTTTAATTTAAAAGTTTTTTAAAATCGAGCAACTCGTTTAGAAAATTATAAAGACTTGAAAGTTAAACAATAATGTGCGACGGAAAATGCAAAACGAGATTCAATACTTATCGTATTAGTCATGTAAATGCTTGAAGTGCTGTCCGCCAACTTGCCGTACATTTTGGAGCATTTGCGGTGTCATTTCTTAATGATTCTTCTTCGCAACTCTTCAAATGTGCCAGGTGCAGTTTTGTAAACTACGCTTTTTATGTGTCCCCACAAGAAAAAATCTAAAGGACTTAAGTCGGGTGACCGAGGTGGCCACTCTAGGACATTATTATATTACACATAATTTTTACATTACATAGTCAAGAAACGTATTGTTTCTTCTCTATTTTAAAATTTTGCATCCATTGAAGTTGATATTTTGTTACCAAATCTTCAAGATTATGATTTTAACAATTTACTTTTCTAAACGTCATCTACAAGATAAAACTTTAAGTAGGGTAGGTATAAATAGCAAAATAAATATAAAACTATAGCCACTTCGTATAAATAATGGGTTTTAAGAGAGTTTATTATCATGCCGATAAGGATTTTTTAAATCATTTAAATTATCAATATTTAGCAAAAATAAAATGTTATCATTCTACATGTTTATCCGATAAATATATTCATAGTGATAAGTTCGGAAATATTCTGAAAATAAACAGCAATTTCAACATTCGTTCTAATACAGGGTGATCAAAAATCAAAAGTATAATTGAAAACATTTTGAAACCTTTAATAGTTATTTATGTACCAAGTCAGCAAAGTGATTCATCTTTATCGAACTAGTTTGGGATTACGAGCCGAGAGAGAGAGAAGCGAGCAAGGCTGAGTAACCGGCGAGTTCGATAAAAACACTTTGCTGACGTGGTCCATACAAACTTTTATCGACATCCGTAAATAATTATAATTAATAAAAAGGAGATATTCTAACATCATATTTTAGTATAACAAAGTAAACAAACAGAAAAATAACAGTGAATAGAAAACAAATCAGTTACAGACTATTTCTGTCAGACGGACATGACTATGTTGATAAATATTAGCAGCAGATAAAATATTTTATTTTTACAGTGCGATAAAGTGTTTGTTTACTTCCGCACATCGCTATGGTAATGTATGGCTTTATTGACGGTTGGCGATAAAAGTATTTGATACGAGGGTTATTCTTTTTCCGCTGAGACTATCTAGTACGTCTAGTAGGCGATTATATTTTTGCAACAATTTTTGTATAACAGTTTAATCTAGTTGTTTACAAATTTGGTTAGTGACAGTTGCCGAATATAGCTGATTGTTTGTAAATTACATGAGTTTAAAGTAATTCTTTCGCTAATAAGTGATGAAAATGAACAAGGAGCATTATCGGGATGTAATTTTTTTAAACCGTAAAGCCGAAAAAATAGGATGATCGCCACTTTTTTGGAATTACTGAGCATTTCCACTGTAGCACTGAAGAATAGATGTAATGTTAATTCAGAATGGTAAACTACAGTTTGTTTGCCTCAGATTCTCCAAAAGATTCTCGAAAAACGTCAAATTTTTGAATCAATATGACGCTCGGGTAGACACTGTTGCTCGAACAAATGAGTATTTGAGTGCCCAAAACATAGAAATATAGGCCATTCGCCGTGTAGTTCAGAACTAGCACCCAGTGACTTCTTATTTCCGTGGGTAAAGGTCAGAGGTAAGGATAAATTACGGGGTTTACGTTTTACATCAGCCGAAGAAGGGGCCAGAAGATTGGAGAACATGTTTCCAAGAAAGTTTTTCGCGAATACAAAAATACATTGTCTGTGGAGGAAAATATTTTGAAAAATTATAAATAATTTAAAAAAAAAATGTTGGAACACTACACATTTGTATTGCAACTTTCGGTTACACCGTAAATGAGTATGAACTTTTTCAATTATAGGGCTGCTTTGTTATTTCATATGAAACACCTTGCAGATTTTAAAATATTCAAAAACATCCTCTTTTTCCATTTCTAAAATTGTAACAAATGTAGCTACTGTTTTTGGTCATACCTATAGTAATAATCAAACAAGGTTTGTATAAAATTTTATTCCATTCCATAAGCAAATTAAAAAAATCATAAAGAATAATTTTAAATATTAAAATGTGGGAGTAATTTATATTGTGATTTTATCTTTAATTTAATTAATTCACCTACGAATTTTACATTTCTTATCTTTTAAATTAATTAATGAAAACAATAGAATTTAATTGGGTATAGATAATTGAAGAAAAGGAGATATTTAGTTGAAATGCTTGATTCATAGGTGTAACCTTAGGTATATTTTATAGAAATGAATAATTGTTGTTCAATGACCTTTTAATAAGGCCCCGATGTAAATTGCTATTTTGATTATTAGTTTGTACAAAAACAGTTATTAAAAAAGGAAAAAAATGGAAGTCGAGGAGGTGTGGACAAAAGGAAAGGGGGGACGCCCTTTGTACAAGGGTAAATTATATAAATTATAGGAAGAGTTTTATTATTATGCATTAAATATAAATTGTTCGGTAAATTTTCCTGATGAGAATATCCGATTGAACATGCATAAAATAATTAATTCACGCAGATCCTTTTATATTTGATTCTGAGTGAAATCAAGCGCATTGCTAACTTGTAGTTAATTCATCGATGAAACCTGTGCAAAAATTTCTATATTTTGTAGTTTACAATATATTTTGTGAATTCTAAACTTAACAAGATATTCAAATTCGGCAAATAATGTTTGTTTTAACCTATAGCAACTCCATTTAAAAAATTATTGTTGGTGAAATTCAAAATTATATTTTCTATACCAGCATGTTTATTTACTTTGTGCACAAACTATAGAACGAATAAGTAGGCAGTATGCGATATCAGTCTACCGAACGGATTTAATTTCATATCCATTCTAGTAAGGATATGAAATCCACCATTTACCAATCACAATTCACATTTAGTACCCGGCAGTCTATTATTTTTTGAAATTGTAAATTAGTGACAAATCATCAAATCGTCAATTAATTATAAGGACTACTTTTAATTAAAATTAAGTGATTCTAGTGAAGAATCGACAAATAATAATGGCCATCCAGAAGATAATTGTCTATATTTACGAAAAGAAACAAAATTTAATACCATTATAAAAAATCAATTTATTTAACAATGCTAAGAACACTGCAGATTTTTTCTAATAAATTTAATAATTTAGTAAAAAGTACTAAATAATGTTCCAATTATTTTCAAAATAGTTATTTTGTCTTAATTATATCTATAATTTTTTTTTAACTTATACGATATCGGCCAACGAATACATTCTAACATTCCTTGGCACAAGTGCGCAGGCCCGACGAGAAGGGGGCTAAATCCCCGGGGCCCGGACAGCTTTAAAAAAATAGGTTATAATACAAGGTAGCGCAAAATAAAGTCCCCTATTTGTTTTTTATATAAAAGTAAGATTAATTAAAAAACAGTCATATTATAAATGAAAAATATTTGTATAAACTCTATAAATTTGTTTTGTTCCACACTAAAAACAATATCGACCAAATGGCCACCCCCAGCATTAATGCAATAATGAGCTCTTTTTAAAGCATTTTTCATAACTTTCTCCAACATTTCAGGTGGCATTCTGTCTATTTCTTCCCGGATGTTGTCTTTTAATGCTTCTAGTTTTCCAGAAATATTTACAAATACCCTATCTTTGAGATAACCCCATAATCAAAAGTCTGGAACAGTTAAATCAAGAGACCTTGGCGGATATGCAATATCGGCGTTTTTCGAGATAAAGCGAAATTCTGTTCAAAATGGCTATTGTCTCACGGGCCGTATGTGCTGTGGCACCATCTTGTTGATATCAAATATCTACCTGATTAGGCTCTTCTATTTCCAAAATTAAAAAATCCAACAGCATGCTTCTGTACCGATCTTCATTTACTGTAGTGGTTCTTCCCGATCGTCCTCAAAAAAATAAGGCCCCAAAATTTTTCTACCATTAACGCCACACCACACGGTCACTTTTGGCTCATGTAACGGTTGCTGGTGAATAATTTGTGGATCATCACTACCCCAGAAGCGATGGTTCTGCTTATTCACAGCCCCATTCAAACAAAAATGAGCTTCGTCGCTCATTGTGATTTTGTTTCAAAAATCTTCAATTTCGTTTTCAAGGTTTACGATAGCATTACAATATTGACGTCGTTTTTCAAAGTCTAAAGGCAGAATTTTACGGATTACCTGTATTTTGTAGGGGAACAAGTGCAAATCTGTCACCAAAAATCGTTGCAATGAACGTCGGGTAATGTTTAATTCTGAAGATCGTTTTTTTGTTGATGTGCTAGGCCTTTCCATCACATCTCTACCTAAGCGGTCTATATTATCCCTTGAACGAGCTGAATATGCGGTTTATCATATGTAGAACCAGTTTGTTTAAAATTTGTCGTTAATCGCCGAAATGTCTTTGCAGTTAGAACACCGCGTCTTCCATATTTTCTACGGTATTCTCGTTGAGCTAGGTTAATCGACGAATTATTTTGATAAAAAAATTTACGATTTCGGCACGTTCTCGAGGCGTATATCGATTCAAAATGAATTTCCCAAGTATCTACTTTGCAACTGACAGAAAAACTCGAACAGATCTTAACTACAAAACTATAATTCAATTGTTTTTAGCTAAAAGCCTGCGTAGTAGACGATAATTTACAATTAATAACCGAAGCAATAGTCCAATATGACACGGATCTTCCAGAATTCCGTACAACCGGTGGGGCACATATTGATAAAACTGATAATTCCATTATTACGTCACCCACTATCATGTGGGTGAAGGCATTGGATATAGTACTAGATAAACTAACCGTGGCTGGAGTTGATTTTACAAAAATAGCTGCAGTATCTGGAAGTGGACAGGTAAAGCTAAAGAGATTCTTAAATTTTACCTAAATCATGACTAGTTTCTTCAATTTAGTTTTCACCTGGGTGCAAGAAAAGTTTTCAGTTATTAAAGTAACGAAGTTTGACCTATTTTGAGATTTAGTCACGTCACAGGCGTATTAGGCAAAATAATTCTAACGCGGCAATATAAACAACGTATATCAATAGATTGGATGATATTCAATTGGAAGAAAGTTGTATTTCAAATTACAATTACATTTCAGCATTAAAAGGTTGTAGTTAACACCTCTATTACCTACGTCAAATTAAGTTTTATTTAAATGTTTGGCAAAAAAGTTGTTAAACAAGTTACACTCAGTGACAGATTTGTTGCCCGCATGTTATATTCATTATAAAGTGCATGTGAAAATGTTGTATCTCACACTACCTCAACGATAAAATTAAATATGGCTTATTTGCTGCAATAACGTCATAACACAAAAATTTACAGACGAGCAATGAAACAAATATTACCTAATTTAGTAACGTATGGCAAAAGTATAGTCACAATACCAAATAAAACAGTTTTAGATATCTGAGAGAAGTTTCCATCACAACAGTTACTCCAGCAAATATGACGATATGAAAACCTTTTGGTACTGACTTGGGTGACATATAACGACAATAACGTATAGAAAGTTCAAATGTGACACACTTTTCCTTACGATCTTTAATGTGAAAATAACACAAATATGACAATTTTTGAGTTATGACGTTCTTGCAGCAAATGAGCGACTCGAAAATTATCTGTATCAAATCATTTCTCTACAGTTCTTAAACAAAATCATATTTAATTTTCTAGCTTTCCCGCAAATTCAATAAAAATGAGTTACAACTTTGTTCCATTGCGGTGTCGAAATAAATTAAAATGAAACGAATATAATTGAATAGAAAGGAAACATTTGCCAATCATATTCCACACCACAAAGGTTATTTTGTCTTCCGACAATTGTCACTGATGATGGCAAAAGGCGAACACGCTCTTCTGAGCTAAATTTCATTAAAAATACACATGATTGTTCATCATTTTAACAATTTTAATATCAAAATTCTCACTATAAGTAACACATGTTTTTTGACTACCTGAAATAGTTACGTTACGCGTTCATTCTTGCAGCAGTGATAAAACTAACGAGTGATCCAAAATAAATGTTTCAAAAGTAGGCCATGATCGACAAAATAAAGATACGAGTCATGTACGTTATAACTACATGCTGCTTTAATATACATCCACATTGACACTTGACATAAGTGAATTTTTCCAAGTCCTACTTTAGAAACATTTTTTCTGAATTATTTCTTATCTTATATTGGAGAAACTGGTCAAACAATCGCGGTAGGCAAACATTGAAAACACCAATTTGTACAAAGATTTGCCTTGATTTTTTATACATTTCCAGACGCTGATATTTATTTTTTAGCAACATGGGTCTGTATATTGGCAAAAAGGTTCATCTGATACTCTAAAAAAGTTGAAACCTGACGTATTTCTCCACCAACAATTAGCCCAATCTTTTGCAGTTACCAACAGTCCAATATGGATGGATTCTAGTACAAAAAAACAGTGTAAAGAGTTAGAAGATGCAGTTGGTGGTCCATTGGTAAGCTCCTTTACTAATGACATATTACTCTATCAATTTCAATTAGCTTTTTTCAATCTATTTAAAAATTAGCTTTGTTTACTGTTTTTTAGAAACTTGCAGAAATAACTGGGTCTCGTGCTTACACAAGGTTCACTGGATCTCAAATAGCTAAAGTTTTCCAAACCAAACCAGATGCGTACAAAAATACTGAGGTAAATGAAACTCTTAAGCTAGTTTGATTTATATTTTAAACATTTTTGAAAATATCGACAAGTATTTGGGAGTTTACGAGATAAGCGGCTGTAAATGATTTTCTGGATTTTTTCGATTCTAAAAAACTTCTCTAAATATTTTTCTATATTTTCAAAAAAAAAAAAAAACATTGTTTTTCTGGTATCTTAATTATCGTATTTTTTTGTTTTTTGTTTAGAGAATATCACTAGTCAGCAGCTTCCTTTGTTCACTTTTCGCCGGTACCATTGCGCCCATTGATATATCCGATGGTTCCGGAATGAACCTTTTAGATATTCATACCAAAAAATGGAATGAAGCTGTCCTTAATGCTTGTGCACCAAATCTAGCGGAAAAATTAGGCGAAGCAGTTCCTTCGTATTCCGAAGTTGGTATTATATCACCATATTTTGTGGAAAGGTACAATTTTAACCCAAATTGTAAGGTTATTGCTTGTACTGGTGACAATCCAGCATCTCTTATAGGTAAGAAGAGAACAGTACAATAATAAAGTATTAAATATGTAGTGTTTACCGATCATACATATTTCTCCGTATCTCTAATACTTTCGTACATACCTAATGCTATGTACCTATTTGCCAACCCACGACCATGTAACAGGCATATATATACCAATTAAATTATTATAAGTTCTATTGGTCAATCAAACATCTTTCATGTACGTATCGAAGTGTTGAGCAGAATAATATACACGTTGTTGAGATGAGGCTGCTGCGGATGATGAAATGGAGCCACAATAAAGGTCAACATTAGCAATTAACGTATTAGAGGCTGCTCCTACAGGTTGTATTTTGAGAGACACAGATCGAGAAAAATATTGTGGGAAGTTGTTGGTATAGTGAGGGTAAATGGAACTAAATGCCGTAGAAATTGGAGGAGTAACAGAAAAGGACAAGATGATTAATGTGATAAGTTAATTTTTCTGATAGCTACAAAAATAGTCAATAGAGATCTTCGTTTCAGTAAACTTACAGCCTCTTTAACTTAAAGCTCGTCCAACGTCTTAAAGACAGTTATACACTAACCGAGATTTGTTTTCGACACAACTCTAACTTAAATTTTGTGAGTTTCTCATTAATTTTTTTACTTAGTTATTGTGAGTGCATCTGTGGTGCAGCTTTACTCCAATACATTTCGCGCGTTTATAAAAAAATAAGAATAGTTATTTACGTTTTGCCTACGAAAATCGAAAATGTCATCATATCTCAAATAAAGAAGAGTTGGTTAACTTTCAATAACTATCGCCTTTTACATTATTATCAACCAAAGTTCACAAAGTTTTACTCATCCAAAAAGCTGATCATCGTTTACAAATTGGAGACATTAATGAATTATCTACGCGGAATTGAATGAACTAATAATTGCACGGCTCTTTTTCGTATATTGCATGTAAATAAATCAATTCCTACAACTTGCTTGACTTCAATAAACGTCTTAAAGAATATTTGTTCAGTAAACAATAATGTTCATTAAAAAATATTCTAATAACGAGGATGGCTTTATTTTTGATGAGGACGTTTTTCTTCTAAATCTATATGACTATCACGGCAACATGAATACTGAAATGTTTACTAAGTAGTTAAAACAAAAATTATGTGAATTTAACACCATTAAGAACAATGTTTCGACTCTTGCAAACCTATATTTTATTTAATGTGCACACAGACTGTTTCAATTTTTGTTTTTTTTAGGAATGAGGTTAGGCGAAGGATGGATAGCTGTAAGTTTAGGAACAAGTGATACCGTATTCCTGTGGCTATCAGAACCAAAAGTTGTGCTAGACGGACACGTATTGTGCAATCCCATAAATAAGGATGCTTTCATGGCTTTATTATGGTGAGTGTTTTTTAATTATTTTTTATGGCTTTAATATGAGGCTTGCCCAAGGCGATTTAATAAATTATAGAGAAAATTTCGCAAGAGAAATGTGAGATTTTTCCAGAGTCGCGTGGTTTTATGATAAATGAGTTAGCTGCCATGTCAAGGTCGGTGTGGTTTTAAATTTAAAGAAACGCGACCGGCATCAAGAATGTATGGAAAAAGGGCATTGAGCATTCAATAAAATCATTGTAGGTTCATGTACGTATTTAATCTAACAGGAAGTTCCAAGAGTTTTTTTATTAATTTATTTTACGTCTGCCTATTTCTAACTACAAGGTTTAAAAACGCTGGTAAGTACGCTACCCCAAAAAATCAGAAATTTAGCCAAATTCGCTTGTGTTCCAACCAGAGGTAGGGATCTTTAACGAGCCCAACATCTATTGTAAGAGTTGTTAGAAGTTCTGTAAGGAAGGATAATTCATAGCTAGTCAAAGGACGGCCCAACACCGAAATTCTGGGGTTTATTTTTAAATTCCGATCTTTATTTTAAAATATCGAGCCCGTTTTTGTTTTTATGTGTAATTTAACAAATACTTCTGATATTTTATAAAAGATATTCCAATTTTGAATATAGAACTTTAATATTGTAGTAGAGCCTTAATAAGAGTTACAAATGAGATTAGATTTTGCGTAGTCTGGGCTAGCCTTTACTATTCAAATTAAAGTGTTACAGTTAAATACCGCCGAAAATATGCATTTTAGAAAAAAAAGTTTCAGACAAAAGTTTTATAGTTTTTTGGGGGAAACATTTTGGCTAAATTCATTTTTTTATAGCTGACCATAATATGGCCATATCGAGGTGAACTTGGTTTTTTTAAATGGGAATCCCATTTTTTTCTTACATATTCTTAAAGTACATAAAAAAATAAGAAACTTTTGAGGGAAATATTTTTTATTGGACTTTTACTTTTTGAGTAACAGCTACTTGAAAATGTTGCTGCGCGAAAAAAAAGTTGGCCATATTATGGTTAGCTATAAAAAACGATTTTAGTCAAAAGTTTTTCTCTACAAAACTATAAAACTTTCGTCTGAAACGTTTTTTTTTTATAAAAAGCGGTATATAGCTGTAACGCTTTAATTTAGAACACCCGGTATATTCCTCTAATCTATATGTACACATCCAAGAACTTTTCGTCTCTTTTTTCACTAGTAGATTTAAGATATTGTATAAAAATATATTTACTCATGCAAAAACCTGATTATTTAGTTAACAAATTAAAGACATTTTCCAATATTAATGAATTTCCTACGCAGAACAGAATAACCTTGGTGGTACTGAATCTTAACAGGGCTCTATTTAAAAGATGTTTTTCGTATGTTTCATGTATAAAGAGTACAATAAACTTACAAAATAAATTAAATCATACAACTTGCTTAACTTCATAACTTCAAGAAACGCCTAAAAGAATCTTTGTACAATAAGCAATGGTCATAAAAAAATATTGTATATGCAACGAATTTGAATTTGAACATCTGTTTATTTTTCTCGATTATATTATTTTTTTTTCTCGATTATATTATTATAGATTAAGTTGTAAATCAGCGCAAGCTGAACTTCACCTTTTCATCTAGTTTATGTATTTACACTTATACTGAAACTTGATAAATAAAGACAATTTACTATTATTATTTAAAATAATCCAAAAAGCTGCAATTTTGTAATATACATATAAGGCATAAATGCACTATTGCAACGAATAGATCGGAAATTAGTACATTCAGGTTTTTCACTGCACCACTTACCATGGGCATTTTGATGTAATAAGTTACCTGAATTGGTTGAAATCAAAATTACTTGCTCTCATTCATGTTTATCATTCGGACATCTTTTCAGTTTTAAAAATGGTTCCCTAACACGAGAACGAATAAGAGACAATTGCGCAGAAGGTTCTTGGGATATCTTCAGCAAACTTCTAGACAGCACGCCCAGAGGAAATTTTGGAAATATTGGACTCTATTACGATAAACAAGAAATCATTCCATTTTTACATGGCGATTTTAGATTTACCAAAAACGGATGTGTCTCTAAATTTAACAGTTTAGAAGTTGAAGTTCGTGCTGTAGTTGAAGGACAGTTTATCAGGAATAGGGCTTATTCGGAAGACTTTGGATTTAAAATAGGTAAACTATAGCATAAAAAATGTATAACAAATCATTATTTATTTCCCATTTAAAACTTTTAATTAATAAGTATCAATTTTCATTGACTTCACATGAGTAAAGTTCGACTTTTAAGACATTTTTTTAGAACAAATAATAGGTAGTAAATTTTTTTATTCGTTTTATTTTTAATTTATTTCAGATAAAAATACAAAAATTCTAGCGACTGGTGGTGCTTCCAAAAATAAAGCAATTTTACAAGTCCTGTCTGATGTTTACAATTCTCCAGTTTATGTGCAGGTAAGCCTAATGGATAGGTATTTTCATATAAAACTGGTGATCGATATTTTGTAAGAAACATGAAGTGATCAAACTATATAAAAAACTATGCCATTAGTATCACGCACTGTGAGGAACGCATATTAGGCAAACGCGGTCCCGTCGAATCGCGGGCTGTGCTAGTCTCGATCGCATGGCGGTCTCCCGAGATTCTTTGGAAAAGATAGGAGAACGCGATGCGAGCGAGCACTGCTCAAGAATATCAAATGGAAATGCCTGCGTTATAAAATATGGGAAAGAACTTCACTGTGCGCGCTCGAGATTAGCACACCCCGCGATTGCCTAATGCGTTCCCTTATTATGTCCTCGAATAAAAGTTTAATTCGTTGTTGAAAGAGAACTCCTTGCTTTAAGACCATGATACCGAGAAAATTCTCAACATCTTTCCTTCACACATCTAGCCTTTTTGAACACAAAAATTATAATTCTTTTGGACCCTTGAACTAGCCTTATGTTTTTTTATTACCTTTATTACCTGTGTGTGTGTCTGTGTGTGTCTGTAGGTCGCATAACTCATGAACCGATACACAGAAAAACACCAAATTTTAAACTTAAGCTTTATTCCAGCGTCTAATGAACTGATTAGATTTTGGGCAGAGTCGGAACATCTGGAGGGGTACTTTATAGGTGGTCATTTTTATATTTTATAGAATATATCTGTTATTTACGTTTGGAGAAGAAAATTCTTTAAATAAAAGTTACTTCTAATATAATTATCTATAATTCTTGTTTTATACAAAATTTTTCTAAAATGGTCCGTATTCGAGAAATTTGACAAAATGTAAAAAAAAATTTTTTTATAAAAATTGTTCAAATAAAAGTTGTTTGTAATATAATTCTCTATAATTTTTATTTTATACATAATTTCTCTAAAATGGACTGTATTCCAGATATTTGAGAAAATGTGTAAATTTTGAATTTTGAAGAAAACTCAAAAACGGATAAAGAAAAAACATTAAATTTTAAACTTAAATTTTATTTCGGCCTGACGTGAAATGATTAGATTTTGGACAAAGTCGGAACATCTAGGGGGGGTACTTTATGGGAGGCCGTTTTTATATTTTATGGAATATATCTGTTATTTATGTTTGGAGAAGAAAATTGTTCAAATAAAAGTTACTTCTAATATTATTATCTATAATTTTTATTTTATGTCAAAATTTCCTGAAATGGTCCGTATCCGAGAAATTTGACAAAATGTGCAAAATTCTGATTTTTATAAAAATTGTTCAAATAAAAGTTGTTTGTAATATAATTCTCTATAATTTTTATTTTATACATAATTTCTCTAAAATGGACTGTATTCGAGATATTTGAGAAAATGTGTAAATTTTGAATTTTGAAGAAAACTCAAAAACGGATAAAGAAAAAACATTAAATTTTAAACTTAAATTTTATTTCGGCCTGACGTGAAATGATTAGATTTTGGACAAAGTCGGAACATCTAGGGGGGGTACTTTATGGGAGGCCGTTTTTATATTTTATGGAATATATCTGTTATTTATGTTTGGAGAAGAAAATTGTTCAAATAAAAGTTACTTCTAATATTATTATCTATAATTTTTATTTTATGTCAAAATTTCCTGAAATGGTCCGTATCCGAGAAATTTGACAAAATGTGCAAAATTCTGATTTTTATGAAAATTGTTGAACTAAAAGTTGTTTGCGATATCGATCTCTATAATTTTTGTTTATACATGATTTTTCTAAAATGGACCGTAATGGAAAAGTGCTAAATTTAAATTTTTCAGTATTTTCGTTTTCAATGAATATCTATAGAAAAATGTTTTGAGGTAGATGTATGTGGACAATGTATATATTTAGTTTGTCCTCTAAACATTTATAGCGGTGCTGCAATAGGTTGTACAAAATAACCAGAAAAAGCCTATAATAACTAGATAGGAAAGTCATGTGTTGGACACATCAGATTTTTAATATAGCAAACATAGAAACACACCATCTCGTAGGCATTTTCCTTTGCCTATTACATCTTCTAACCGATTGAAAAGATATTATGTAATAAAAAAATACAATATTTATTTGATGTTTTTCAGGATGCTGCAAATTCAGCCATGTTAGGTGCAGCTTTTCAAGCCAAACACGGATTATTACATGACAGTAAAACTTACATGGAAATAACCTCAACAGTACCTGAGCCTCATCTAATCTGTAAACCTTTTGCCGATGCAGAAGAAATATATAGACCGATGGTTAATAGGTATAGACAGATTGTAAAAGAGTTAACAGATAAATAAATTCTAAATTTGTTGTCAAGTTGTTAGTTTTACAAAAATAAAGAAAAGCCAATAAAATGTTGCATTATTTACTTGTTAAAATAATATATAATTGCACTTTCATACCAGATTTTTTATTTGGTCTTGATCAAATCTAAAACTAAGGTTTTACAGAAAGAGCTAATTCATATGAGACATATATCTGTAACATATTTTCATTATTCGTCTTTCATGTGTCAAACCTATGAAGACCAAAAAGGAGGCGAATCGGAAATGGTCCAATTTTTGTCCTTTTTGTAAAGGTCGCAAATTAACTGGAGTTGGCGGGTCGTACGTAAGTTAAAGTCAATGTGAAATAAAGTATTTAAAAAAAAATGGTGAATAGAACCAAAATAATGTAAAAAAAGTACCCGAGTACAAATAGCCCTAGAACCAACGTGCAGATTTGCGACTTATTTTCTTATGGCTGAATTTGTTATTAAAGTGTGTTATGATACGTGTCCAACGAAATCACGAGGGTTCAGACCGGGGCGCTTAAGTAGCTATGGATATTACAAGTGGTACGTGCCTCGAAAAAACTACTTATTTTCACAACATTTTTGTCATGCTCATTCTACGATAAGTGCCCACCTACAAGAAATATTAAACCCTCCACCAATTTCGCTGGACCATTTTTTCTCTTCAACGTTTTAAAGCAGCTCTTGAGTGGGCATGCGTGTGAATTATTTTAGTATGGCTGCTTTTTGGTTTATTTTCAAGTTTTTTTGTTATGTTTTACATAATTCATCTCCACCAATTTCGATGAGCCATTTTTTCTCTCATTCTCCAATGTTTCAAAATGGTGCGTGAGTGGGCATTCGCATGACTTATTTTCTCATAGTTAAATTTATTATTAAAGTGTACTATGATACGTGTCCAACGATTTCACGAAAGCGCTTAGGTATTAAAAGTTGTATGTGCCTCTACAAAATTAACTTATTTTCTTAACATTTTCATTATGCTCCTTCGACGATAAGTGCCCATTTACAAGAAAAAATATTAAACACTCCAATAATTGCGCAGGGCCATATTTCTCTCCAACGTTTTAAAGTAGTGCGTGGGCATGAGTGTGACTTATTTTCTTATGGCACCAATTTCCCTGTGTCATTTTTTCTCCACATTTGAAAGTTGTGGGTAAGTCCAAACTGGAAGCTTGTACCAAAGCAAGATAAAAGTGATTAGCTTTTCACTGAATTAGTGCCCGATAAAAATATTGGACCTTTTAAGTGTCTAACGAAAATAAAGAGTAAAAAACAACACATAATAAAACCAATATTTTAATATATAATAATAAACAAAACTTTAATTTTAGGAGTATGTTAAAAAAATAAAACGAAATAGGATCAATAATAATACCAACAAGATATTACAAATGCTATAAAAGAATATTGTACATAGTCTATAAATTAATGAATTCACTTAATGTACAAAAAAAAACTTAATGTATAAGGTTCTAACTCAACCAGAAACTCCAACAATTTCTTTTTTAATTCAGAGATATTGTCTATTCGTTTTAATTTGGAAGAAATACTATTGTAAATCCGGATACCTACATGTATATCCTCCATGTTCTGTCATTGAGAGTTTATGAGATGGATACGCATAGTTTATTGACCTGGTTATGTAGTTATTTTGAGGTTGGTGTTGGTCAAAAAGTGATCGTTTTTTAAAGGAAAACAAAACTGATTCCTGTATAAAGATTGCAGTAGTGGTCAATATTTCGTGGTGTTCGAATTTTCTTTGACAATAATCTCACTTTCATTCCCAATATAATTATTAACGATCTTTTCTAACAGACAAATAGTTTTCCGATGTCAGTGCAGCTTCCATATGTAATATGATAGAACATTTTTAAAATTGAAAATTCAACATATTTTTAACCGACCTCAAAAAATGAGGAGGTTATCAATTCGTCGCGATATTTTTTTTTTTTTATGTATGTTCAGCGATAATTCTTTAACACGGTGTCCGATTTCAACAATTCTTTTTTTGTTCGAAAGGGGCTACTTCAGAGGTGGTCCCATATAAATTTGGTCAAAATCTAAAAATTGGGTCCATGAGAAAATCCTCAAACTCTTCATTTTTTATGTATGTTTAGCGATAATGCTTTACTACCTTGTCCGATTTATATGATTCTTTTTTTGTTAGAAAGGGGGTACCTCAGGGGTGATCCCATATAAATTTGGTTAAGATGTTGTGATGGCATCTGCAAGTTTTTGAAGTCGGTTTTTTTAATTTACACTTGTTTTAATACAATGTGTACGTTGATCTAGATATTTATTGACGCACATATTCAATATGTTGTGACCATGACAGGGTGCTGTATTTCTAGAAATTTAACATATTCTTGAGGTTTGATCTGTATGTCATAGATTTTATATGAATCTGGTATATCTAATCTAGATCTGTTTTAAATATTGCCAAGTTATTTTTGTCTTTACGATTAATTTATTTTTTGTGAACCATTATCGATACTAACTAGACACTTCATTTGTCCTAAGCTGTAAACAAGTTGTCACCTTTCATCAATGTATTTGTATCATCCGCAAATGTTGTTATTGAAGAGCAATTTTGTTTTTCAATTATTTCCGTTATATTATTAACATATAGAATAAACAATATTGGTCCCAACACACTTCCTTGAGGAATTCCTGTACCTATTATAATACTGTAAGAAGTGATTTCATTGTTATGGTATTTAGGTCGAATTTTTTGTTGCCTATATTTGACAGGTAAGATTTAATCCACTTTATTATTGATCCTCTAATTCCATAACAGTCCAGCTTACTTAACAGTATGTCATAGTTTATTGAATCGTAGGCTTTTGATAAATCTAAAAATAGCTCCAAAAGAATATGTCTTTCTTCCAACGTTAATTTTTCATTTGTAAATTGAAAAACAGCCGTTAAAGTAGATTTATGTTTAAGATAACCATGTAGAATATTATTAAATTGATTAGTTGAATACATAAAATCAATAATGCGTGAGACAATATTTTCAAATATTTTGGAGAAAGATGACAACATACTTATAGGCCTGTAGAGTGTAGTTCTTAACTTTTGACTCGATTTCCTTTTTTTGTAGACTGGAACTACCATTACAATTTTAATCTCATCAGGAAAACTACCAGTTATTTGAATTATTAATAATGTAAACTAATGAAGTGACTATAACAGATATATTTTATGAGGCTCATTGAAACTTCGTCATATCCCGAACTATGTTTATTTTTTTGTTCATTTAAGCATGTTAGAATTTCTTTTTTGTCTAATAATGTATTTTGGATTGTTTTTTCAGAATATGGTACCTTTGAATACGGAATAAGGTCTATTTTCTAGCTTTGACAATAGTTCTAAAGCTGCGTTTGCAAAAAAACTGTTATGTGCTGTTATACTCGAACAATACAAGGTGGTCAAATTTAGCATTTATGAACCAGCACATTAGATACCTATTACATAAAAATCTCTGGACAATAAAATTAGATAACATCTTCGACATCAAAAACCCCTGATTAATTATTTTCACAAATTTAGACAAATACGTTGTCAAGTTATTGCGTTATATTTGAACCACTAATATTTTTTTAAATTATTTATTTTCGTTGGACACAAAAACGGCCCATTGTTTTTAATGGAAAATAATGAAGTGAATAGGTAATTTTATCTTGCTTTTATATAAGTGTCCACTTTATGAAAATAAGCCACGCTCATGCCTCCTCAAGAATTGGAGAAGAAATGGCCCAGCGAAATTGATGGAGACTTAAATATTTTTTGTAGGTTGGCACATCGAATAAGCACAAGGAAAATGTTAAGAAAAAAAGTTAAAGTTTGTGGGAAGCACGTACCACTTGTAATGCCCATTGCTAGATAAGTCCCCTGGTGTACCTCGCGCTTTCGTTGCATGGATACTAGTTCGTACTAGTATCATGATTTCGTTGAACACTTTAATAACAAAATCAGCCATAAGAAATAAATCACAAATCTACACGATGGCTCTAGAACTAATAACATGAAGGAAAAAACATCAAAGCACACTTCGTTCCAGGTTTTACAACGAAATATAAATCAAATGTAAAACTAAAGAAAACACAAGGAGAAATCAATTCAAAATATTAAAAAAAAAATGCCTAACTCAAACGATGTTAAATTGAATCTTCTGGAAAAATTAAGCTTTATAAAGGGACGAAGCCTATTGATTCTTAAAAAAATCTGAGTGAAAATGGAGGTTAACGGGTCTGTTAACTCTTTTAAGGGCGGAGGTATGTTAACAGTAAGTGGGCACGTAATAAAAAACTTATTTAACTTTGCAAAATTTTATGAAATCAAACTCAAAATATTTATTAAAAAACAAAAGTAAACTCAATTTCTAGTTTTTTTTATTTTCGTAATAAAAAAAGGTGGTTTATTTTTTGTAACGGTGCACATGTTCAAAATTTACTATTCAGTATGGTACCTTTCAAAATAAACCTTATCTTTTCCCAAACAAAGTGGCACATTACATGTAGAACACATCCAGTTTGTACGAACTTGTTGTTGGCTTGTACTGCATAAACCACATCGTCTTCTACTGGTATATTTTGGTTGATGATCTGAATTTTCATGCCTAATTTTTTTTTGAACAAATGGTTTATGCTTTTTGATGGCTACACTCAATGATGAATGTGACCTGAAGTTTTTATTAAGATTTAATTGTTTTTGTAATACAAAAGCATTGACGACCGAAGCGTCCAAAAAATAAAATAAAATTCTATGCCACCATTTGTGACTCTTTCTATTTATTTTATAGGTGTGTTTGTTCTGGTCAAATTTATCTACCCCATTCATATGCTTGTTATAATCAGTAAGAAGTTGAGGATATGGAACTTGAGTTACTACACCAGCTGAAAAATTTAGCCGTAAAATTGTACTTTTCAAATTTCAACAAACCATTTCGAAGTTGGTCATACCTACCTAATTTGTATTTTAGATAAATATACATAATTTATCAATTAAAACATGCAAGATTTATTTAAAAATAAATACAGTAGTTTGTTCTGTGCTTTATTTAGCTATAAACAAGTTTATTTTTACTATTTTGACAAAATTATGTATAATTCCCATAAGAAGCCATGTACTTTGAACTCCATAAGCAATACCAGCGCCCATGCGGTTAATTATAAAAGCTCAATTAGCGTGCGTTTTTTGGGACCGTATTTTAGTATGATAATTTGCCTCCTTAGGGGCGTTTGATTTGAAACTCGATCGAGCGAGCGTCGAGGAGACCGAGAAGTGATGACGTCACAATAGAGCATTGAATCAAATCAAATAAGAGAGTAAAAAACATAACCTCGCTTTTCTGTGATTCTTGTTTCTATTTTGTATGTTAAAATAGTGAGCAAAAAGCAAAGAAAATTGAAAAACTTTTAATAATAAGGGGTAATGGCCCTGAAATGCAGCATTTACCACAAATGCCCGCTTCGCTCTCATACTCCATGACTGTGATTACTGGTGATTAGATCTGGACAGAAAAAATGTATTTTCCAAATACACATTTTGTGTTTTTTTATGATGAATAATTTTAGCTATAAGACAAACGCGGCTAAGTAATTTGTTGACTTCTTGTCTGGTATTTAATTTTGAGATTCAAATTTGTTTGTAAGTTACTAAAAAGAGATAGGTAGAGACAAAGACAAATTTCTCCCTCTTCTCGATCTTTCTGCTCTGAGAACATCGAGCTCGCTCTATGTTCTCGCTCCAAAGCGAAACAAACACTTTAGGGATCTCTCGGAGTGTCAATTCAAACACTTTTGAAGCGCTCGGAGATCTCCGATGATCAAATCAAACGCACCACTTATCTCTTCATAGTAATTTGATAATCAACACGAAACAAGATTTGACTGACAGTATTAATGTATGGTCTGTGGTATTAATCCGGCAATCGTGAGTCCACTGGGTGCCGCGTGTCAAAATAACAAGGTAGGTAGTTTTCTAATTTTCGCAGGTTAAATAAATACACACCCTCACCCAATCGATCACAGTGACAACCAAATTTAAAGCAGCGTTTTTCAGTTCGATGACCGGGATGTCATTTTTATGATTAGTATGCTGAATACCATTTGTTTAAATCTTTTTTAATATTGAAATGAAGTATAATATGCACTAAAATATGCGATCGACAAATTTACACCTACAAAATAAAAAAAACTGAAGATAAACGGACAGCATATATTATTTCCCGCCAAAGACGAAATGTAACGGATTTTGAGTGCTTTGACGAAGCTGCCTCTGTTGACCTCTTCGGTTGGTTTTTCAGAAGATAGTGAAGATGAAGCCAATGAGATGGCAACCTAATTCAGTACTTATGTGTAACAACTAATTTTCTTAAATATGTTGAAATAATAATGACAAAACTTTCCCCTAAATTCAACCAAAACGTGCACTTCATAAAAGTAACACACGACTACTCAACTTTACTTCTTTTAGACTGCTAAGTTAAACATTCGTTCTCACAAAACTTTTTTATTTTCAACTTATTTATGAGCATATTCAATTTCTTTCTGCTGCTGAAGATCGACGACTAAGAATTGAAGGCTTATTTGTAAATTTTTTCGAGATCTACTTTAGAAACACTTAAAAGTGGATCACTTCATATTAAATTCTGCCCGTTATAGTATAGTATTTTTTATTCGCAGATTATACATAAGACAATTTTATTTTTTTTTTAATCTGAAAGTAGGTTATGATATACAGGGTGTTTCCGAACTTGGCATCCAAATTTGTAGGGGTGGTAGTTCGCATAATTTGAGACCGATTCGCATATTTCATTTTTCCAAAATATTTCAAATAAAAATAATAAACCGGTACGGTCCTGCACAGCGATAGGACTGCTTCGACTCGCGCGCGCTACGCTTAGAATCGACAAAATTGTAAATCGCAACTGTTTTTGAGGACTATTGCGCTACGCGCTCAGGGTAGGACCTGCTCTTTGTTTTTTTTTTATAATGGCTCTTATTTCGTTCATTTTTTTTAGAAAAATGAAATCTGCCAATCGCTCTCAAATTATGCGAACTACCACCCCTACAAATTTGGACGCCAAGTTCGGAAACACCCTGTACATAGTTTCATAAATCCTCCTGAACCTAGAGCCATTACTTTTATATCTTGTTCATTACACTCGATCATGTTTTGCGCTAATTGGTCATTTTTAAATTTACAGGTAAAAATTAACGTATGTTATAAATTGTCAGACAATCTCTCAAGCCAACAATTAGAATATTTTATTATAGTCTTCAACAATATATTCGTATCCCACACGATTAAAAAAAAATAAAGTACTGAAGTTGTTACTTTTAGTCACGTGGGATAAAGGTATCATTGAAGCGTATTTGTTCCAGTATAAGAGTTCCTCTACTTTACCTGCGATAATTCTTGTTTCTAGGGATTATTTCCATAGCAGTTCTTCCACCAGGCGCCAAATCCTAATTAGCATTAGTAGGTAGGTGGAGTAAAACAAATATATTTGCACGCTCCAGACCGCCTAGGTTAGGTTCGAAATACACTGCAACCTAATAGCTCTGTGCCCCCTTCTGTCCCTAATGCAGCAAGGAAATGTCTGGATGCCTATAACGACCCTTCCAATCCTATCTTCTCAAACGAGTAGGATTTGGAGTGGCAGGTAGTGCCCTTGTATTCTGGAGTGCTACAGATTCAGTCATAATTAGAATGGAGGTTTCGTCGTCCTCCTACCCACAAAATCGGAACTCACTATTTTCTACTACTCTATATCTACTTAGGGTGTCCTTTGAATCTGCAATACCCATTAAGTATCACCGTTACAATATGTAGCTTGTTCATGCTTATGCAGATACAGGCTTCCAATCTATTCTGGAAGTACCTTAGTCCAAATAAATTGTTCCAATTATCGGTTCTTCTTCTGCAAATTCTTTTTAAATCTCTCCTAATAGTGTTACCTCTTTAATTTAAAGATATAATAAATTATCGTTTACTAACGACAATCAGACATTTAATAAATTATCAGGATTCGTCCTCAGTCAGGTTTTTTTTAAAATTATTTAATCCCGATTCTAAGGCAGGATTTCCCACTAAAACATTCAATGCTGTCTAAGTGGCGCTGGGAATCTAACCTAAATATAGTACTAGCATTCCATAACATACAAACAAAACGAGACTAATGACCCGAGTTGTCAAAGCAGAGGATACCAACAAAAAATATTAGGATTGATATAATTTACGAGGCATACTGGTTCTCTTCCAAATTCAACTCGTACTTTTCTAGAGTTATTTTGGTTTTAATATAATTTTTTATAACCAGCAAAAAATGGCCCAAGAGAAATAATGCAGTAAAGGTAAACATTGGAGGCAATACTTATTTTTTTAAATAAGTATTTAGATCTCTCTTGTTTTTCCATTTCTTCTTCTTATACATATCTCTACTCGTACTGTAGGTTAAGAACAAAAGATAAAAATACCGACAAAATGTTTTTTACTATTCAAAAAAATGTCAAATACTCGACTAAAAATCATCATTAAGATTTGGGTAACTAGAAACAAGGCAATGTCTTTGTTACTGAATAGTGAAGTCGTTAGTGTAACGATGTCTATAAAAGATAAATTACCGAGTAGTAATTATATTACATAGCTTGGGGAATAAATTAATAAAAAATAACTCATTGAAATACCTTTATTTAAAAATAACTTACATTCTCTAACAACTTTTAAGATACTCTTCCAGTAAATCCAAATGCACAAACTGACTCACAACACTTAACCACGAAATTACCGGATTTTTACTAGTTTTTAAAAATTCCTTTAATATTTCATATGTCTTACACGGATGCAACGTAAAAATTGGTTTATTTAATACAGGATGATCCATTTGAGTGAGAGTATCGTGCATATTGTAGTCATGTAGATTTTTATTGTAATTCCAATATTCTTCCAGTGTTATTCTTGAACCGTCCTGCCTCCAAATGTTGAAACATAAAACAGGAACAGCATAACTTATATTATATACTAAGTGGTATTCAAAAGTAGCTATAATTTGTAAATCAGGATCAGCAGGATTGCGCAGAAGCACGACTTGCTTTTTAGTTAAAAATTTATTGTTTTCTATGTTTTGATCTATTGTGTTTAATTTCCATTCATCTAATAGATCGTTTGAAATTGTTAAAAATGCATTGATATATTTATGAAAATCTTGAATTGAAATTGTAGAATTCTCCATTTTTAAAACACTATTACGATGATATTACACATACACTCAAAATAAATGATTAATTTTATAAAACTACAGCATAACTGATGAATCCATGGATTTTTGGATTAAATTCTATTAATCTGGAAAAATTAAAAACTGAAACTAAATTCTTGAAGATAGTTAAATTGGAGTTCAAAATAAACCTGTTATTCTAAAACTGAAATTTCGTCTGGCGATCTTTAAATTATTGTAAACCGAGTAGACGAAGAGTCAGATTAAAAAAAAATCAACAGTTATATTTTAAACCCCAATGTAGATGGTTCCAGGAAGATTTTTTTTTCGAGATACTTGATGAACTTGTGAGTACCTGTAAAGAAAAAACGTCTTTTATATTTTAAATGAAATAAGCAGAACATTTCAGGGGCGATCAAACAAAACCAGGATAAATCCATTTATGGACAAAAGTAAGTTTTTTTTTTGAAGAATTTGTAAATTTTAAAAATAAAAATATGTTATTTCAAAAATTAATAAACATATTTAAACAATATAATAATTATTTGAAAAAATATAATACACTACTTTTAATTTAAAACTCTGAAAAATAGATTCCCAATTTTTAAATAATTAAAAATAAACTTGTTTGAAATATCCATACATAATATTTTAGAAATCTAAGAAGTTAAAAGTTCAGTGATGAACTAATGGACTAGTCTGAAAAGTTGAATCGTTCAAATACACTTATCAAGAAGGTGTTCACGTATTATGTAAGTAGATTTAGAGGGTTCAAGTTTTTCTTATTTTTGCTGACAGAGGGAGCGGGGGTACTATTAATCTTAGGTAAAGTATAAAAATTACAACATAATGATATCCACCAATTCGTAATGTATAAATTTGAATACAGAGTCCGTGGACAATAAGTTATTCTTAAATTTGGAATTTTTAAATTTGACACATCTTATCATTTTGCTCTTATTATTTATACAGGAGATTGGGGCCCAAAATCATTGAAAGAGCTTATGTAATACTTGAATGCACCCTAAACTAATTTGATTGAGTTGGTCATAAAGGATTGATTTCTGAGTTTGTCAGCTTTCCCTTAAACACTTTAACCCCGGAAGCCGTGAAATTGCGTACATAGTTGAGGACCATTTAAAAATTGCAAAAACAGGAATGTCTATAAACTGCGGTACAACAACAAAAAAAAAAAAATTAATCAGTCGTTTCGGGAATGGGTGAAATAATGAATTCCTACAGAGTTTTTTAAAAGTAAATAGATTTATATCAATAAAATAAACTAAAGCAGACTTTTGTTAGAATCTGTTTGTAAGGCCAGTCGCCTAAAAAAACTCCTGGTACGAAAAGGTTAAAACTTATCAATTATCAGTTCTCTGAGTTAAAACTTACCAATTATCGGTTCTCTCAAAAATATAATATTCTGCAGTTTTGGACCAGATATCTAAAACAAAATATATCATTAAAATTTAGTAAAAACCTTTAAATAAAAAAAAACTAAAATGAAATTGCTTTCAGACCTGTTGAGCATAAAATAAAACCACCACATTTAAGTCTGGTTAGAAAATCGTCATCATGTTAAAAAAATATTCAAATGATATTTAACTAATGTTTGATATCTTACCTTATTAAACATATCCAAACTTCTGTATTAATGACAAATGGTGTCCCTTATATGTTGTAAATCCTGTAACAAAGAAACATTTCTATGAAAAAACTAAATACGACATATTTATTTCGAAAAATTATTTAATGAATTTCAGATGGCCGTTCTAGTGGCATCAAATAAAGTCAGAACAGGTCTGTGATAGAACAATCATCATAATATATTAAATAATTTCAGGCATCTAATATCAAATGTAGCAAAGTTCACTTTTCTAAATTTTTCACTACATAACAAAAACTACTTAATTTTAAATTGGCTATATATAATATATTTATTGGAGTTAGCTGTATTTGATATTTAAGGTTGGAGTTTGCTATATATGATTTGTTCATGAAAGGAGATTGCTGTTTATGATAGTAAACGGGGGTGTAAAAACATCCAGGACTGTATTGAATACAAACAGTTCTGCTCACTAATTAATATTGTGATTAACAGAAACTAAAAACAAATGTTTTTCATATTGTCATTAAACAATGAGTCCATGGGAGCCGACCAAAAAATTGCTGGGGACAAGTCTTATATAGTATTTTTAATACAAATCCTGATGCACGTCAGCAATGACGTCGGTCATTCGTCATAGTACTACCAACTAATTAAAATGTCCCTAACTAAGCTAATAATCCGAAAAAGTCACGTATAGTCACGAGCATTCATGAACGTAGTCATATTACTAAAAAGTCGAAAACTTTTATGGTGATTATTTTGATAATTTTAAGAATTATTTAAATTATTTAGTTTATACATGTCTAATTCTTGATAATATAAAATTTATAAAAACATTATTAAATGTTTAGTACTCAAAAAATAATACTTTACATTAAATAATTTTGACATTCTGTACGCCCATGAAGCTCGTATTTATAGAGAAGAAATGTCATTACAGCAATTGGTACACCTTGTTGCGGTGTTGCAACCCCTTTTTAAAAAATTTCACTGATTTAGTTAGGTTATGTTTATGTTGAGTTAATTATTGATTGTGCATTTTGTTTTCTGTAATTTAAAATCCTTTTGCCTGTATTTTTAAGCTTTGCCAGTTATACTTATAAAAAACTGTTTTTCAAAACAACCATAGAGTGAATAAGCTGATTATTTGTCATTAAATTTTTATATACAAAATGCCTAAAAAACTAAATAGTCCTTGTAAGGAGTTGATAGCTTCTTTAATCCATTATTTTAAATGAGAGCGTGATAATGATGAACCACGTTTACCTTTAACTGCTGTAAGAGAGGTAAGTTACAAGTTATAAAATTTAATAGAAATATGAAATTATTTTCTTGTCTTTTTTAGTGTGTTGCAGCATCTCTAAATAAAAATATTTCTACTGTCAGTAGTATTTGGCAAGCAGTCAAGAATAATGAATGATTAAAATCGATGATTAAAATCGCCAATTAAAAAGCATTCATATAAACAAAGGATTACCTACTAATACAATAACACTGGATACAAGTGGAATCCGAAGTGGTATTTATAATATGTATGGAACAAGTAAGTATAAAGACAAATCTATTTATTCAATCATAATTTATTTATATTACCTATAAAAGTTTTAATTTGTATACAGTAATATAAATACACACTTATTTGCAGGTCAAAATATAACTTTGGAACCTTTAAGAGAAAAGTTGATTGAGAGGCAAATGTTTAATGGCTATATTGCATCATTGTCAACTGTATTAAAAGAATGAAGGAAAAAAGATAACCAAGACGTGAACTGTAAATGAGTCAGTTTTTAAGAAATTATAGAATTACAACAGAAGCAGTTCGTTGTCATTGATGAAACATGTATCGTTCAAAATGAAACAGCTCCTGGGAAAATAATGACAAAGGGTGTTAGACCTACAAAAATCGATGGCAAGAGATAAAACACCAAATTTGAAGTAAATTAAGGTATCAGTAATTGTGTAAATCAAGTAAAAAAAATTATTAATATTGAAATGACACATCATATTGAAGATTTAATGGTAGATACGCTATTCTAGCAATCATATAAAGACAATTTAATTGGAAAAATTAGATTACAGTGGTAAATAAACATCTACATGTTTTACACATTTTCAAGATGTACAGTGGAACCCAAAAATGCCTTTTTTTATCAGAAATAAACTTTAAAACAATATCAAAAAATTAAAAATGAAGTTACAAGATTTGATATAACGGTGTACCTAACATTAAATCATTGATATAATGTGTTGTTTCGATATTACAATTTAGAATATAGCGATATTGACACACGTTATACGAAATAGCAACTAAATAGAAATAAATAAAACATTCTTTTTTCAGGTGCAAACCGCCAAAGAAATATATGGTAGATAATTATCTAAGCAGAACAATATAGACAAAGTATTACGTAATCTTCCCTGCCATTGTATTTTTAACCCCATTGAACTTATTTGTGACCTTTCTAAGCAATATTATAATAAACATATTGACAGAGAGGGAGTTTATAATAGATTGGAAATTATTTTTATTATAATTAACCCTAATAGCGATATCGATGACTGCGATTCAAATACTTGCGATCTGGATTAGGAGAAATAAAAGAATTTTAATAGGAATAATGAAGATTAGTAGATGAATAATTGTTTTTTATGAGAAAATAGTGTATTAAAAAAAAAAACATTGTCTAATTTTTAAAACAAACAGTTTGATATATTTCTTATAAATCTGTATTTTTATTTAAGTTATTCCAAAATATAAAAAAAATATTTGACTGAGAATAACATTTTTCAAATGTCTTTTGAAACTGGTAGAATGGAGAATCTTGATGTTTGAGTGAAAAATCATACATGTTTCGATAACTTTAGAGTTGAAAATAAGTAGCGATATCCGTTTATTTTTGAAGCATTTCTGGCTATCTTGAATACTTGAGCTACAGAACCGTTACTGAAAGTGAGATTTACTAAAGCACCTACTCAAATATTTTAACAATTTCCTTCTTGTATTCAAATATTTTAGCAAATTCAAACTTTAATTCTTTAAGTATAGTTATCTACTGATATTATGACTCCTCCACATGCCTTTGTAGTTTTCATTTTTTCAATGACCTCTTTAATTTTATGGGGTGTTGTGGTTTATAACTTAAATGTAGTTCTGTTAAATAACTTTCTTGGTGAAATTAAATTAGTTTTAAATATTTTCTGTGCTAATTCTAAACCAATTTTGATCCATCTGCAATATACTACCTTACAGTTTTATTTTCCATGACTTGCATAATATGTTTAAAGCTTTTTTGTTCAGATGTTTATTATTCATAAAGGAATTCAATATTTTCTATTAGTTATATACATTTAAAACTAATTGTTCCTACTAGTAACATAACAAATACATAACCTTACAATTTAAAAAATTCTAAATTCCTCAACTATTCTGACGATTAGGCAACACTGCAAGGCCGTGACGTCATAAATGATCTCTGACGTGCATCGGGATTTGTATTAAAAATACTATAGGCAAGTTCAAAATGCTGCAGGCTATATACGAAAGCCATAGCGAAAAATCCAGGGCGCTTGCCCTCGTGTGGCGGCGCCTATGAATGTGCCCTTAAAGTTGACCACAAATGAGAAACTTTTTTATTATTAGAGTATTAGTGCAAGCAAGAAACTAAAATAATAACGTTGCCAGTAAACGGCCGCCTGGCTGCGTGGGGATAACTCTCGAGTATGTACCGTTGACCGTCTGTGTGTATTGTGCTATCTGTCTGCGCTCTATGCTATGTAAGGTGAATTAGGAATAGGCACACAACGACAGATATACCCACAATACCAACGCAGCTAGGCTGTTGGCAACGTTGATATTATTCGTTTTCTTCTCGACTAATGCGGAGTTTTTGTAGTTTTCATTTCGACACTAGCAAACCGTATTAGGGGGGTTTTAATAGCCGATACTGTATATAAATAAATAAATATATATACAGAGTTGCGTGAAAGTTCGGAATAAAATTATTAACTGTTCAACCAGTAACTTAAAAAAAAACGCTGAAACAAGTGAATTGATTTTACATTGGACGTATTTGTTGACAATAAAATAAAAATTTTTTCTTCAATCCCTTAACTGCAACCCTATCCAACTTTTTTAAATAAAAGGGTATGTGTGTAGGTCATTGAAAAGCTCGAGAAAAATGGAATCTCACAATACCCTATTTTTTTTCTTTTACTTATGTGGTTATTAGGAAATGAGAAAAAATCTTTTGAAAACAGAAAAATTACAAATAGGATATAGTGAAATGCCATTTTCCCCTAAAAACGACATATTTTTGCATTTTATGTGTTTCCTATTGTCAATATAGATTTACAAATTACTGTCCTGGAAAAAATGTTGCTTATCTCAATCATTTCGCTTTATTTGCTTTCCAATTTTTGGCATTTCTAACATTTTTTTGCGTGTTTTTTATATACAGAAGGAAAAGAGACATCCATTTTATGAATTTTCACTAAACAATTCTTATTATTTTGTTACTATATAGTAAAAAACAGTAATTAACTATGCACGTGTTGTTACAAACCGACTACAGCTACCATACTGGTTTAACTACTTGTTATTGGCTGAAAGTGACTTTGCTACTTTTGTTATGCCAAATCTGGAGATTGCTGTTTCTGATACAAACTTACAACTTTGCTGAATGGTTTTAACGGCTTATTTCTGTAGCTTTGATGTATCGAGTAAAAAAAGTCGAACGGAGCACTAGATGCATTTTCAAAAATACTTTGTAACTTTTTATTTGCAAATTTCGAAAACACCGTTCAAAACATACTAGCGTCTGCACTGAACGTGAAAGAGGCATATTAAATCACTTTAGATGTCGTGGTGTCTGCTCCAATGCTGGGCAGACGCTCGTTTAAAACATTAATAAAAGTCAGTAGTTAGTTATTTGTCGATTCTTCTTTTTTAAACTATATTTTGCCATTATTTGTAAGAAATTCAGAAAAATTACTTTTTCTACGCCCATGTCAGTAAACGTTAAAAATCGCACTATCAACATTCCTTGTAAATGACA